GGAAGAAGTGGGTTAAATTGCAATGATAGACATATGATCTCACTTATATGTGGAATCTAAAGAACAGACTAAACCAACCAACAAAACAGAAATAGACATAGATACAGAGAGCAAAATGATGGTTGCTGGATGGGAAGAGTGTTGGGGTTGGTGAGAAAGGTGAAAGGAAAGAAGAAAAAAATAATACATTGCAATGGTAGAGTATATTGATTGGTTATATCAGGAGAAAGTCCTAATTATAAGCTCATTGAGGTCAAGGAATTTCTCTTACAGTTTCTATTTTTTAAAATGCCTAGTATCTCTGCGAACTCTGGGGCTTTTGGTCTCGTTTGCTTAGTAAAGTTATGACACCTTTCTGGAGCCAGTGCTTGTCTGAGTGGCTGAGCGGGAATCTTGGCCAGAAGGTTTCTGAAGTCCCAGCAGCCCCTTCCAGAATACTCCTTTGTTCTTACTAAAGAAACTCCAGATGTGGCTGCCTTCGAGTGAAAGACAAGAGAATTCATCATGGCATGGCTATCTAGAAAATGACTGTGGTCTTCAATTCCTTAATAAAGGTTTCACGTGGGCTCCAAGCCTCAGAGGCATGCCAGCAGCCCGTGAGATGAGGCTGCATGGTGTTCAACTTGAACATGTCAAGCTCTGTTGCCATTCTGTTTTACTGGAATGGGTTTCTCATAGTAACCGAAACGAAGGAGACTCATTGCACACCTGCCTGCTTCACTCATTCTGTCCACATTCACTCACAGATAACTGCAGCGACCTGAACTCGGAACTGCAGAGAGTGCTGACGGGGCTGGAGAATGTCGTCTGCTGCAGGAAGAAGAGTAGCTGCAGCCTCTCGGTGGCCGAGGTGGACAGGCACATCGAGCAGCTCACCACGGCCAGTGAGCACTGCGACTTGGCTATTAAGGTAAACCCTCCCCCACCCTCTGTTTGGCTCTTTGAGATCACATGAAGGAAAGGGTCATATCCCTCTATTCTCAAGGACCTGTTAGGAATGAGTGTTTCTAGGAAAGCCGTACGTATAGATGGGGCCACCAGATAGAAGCAGGAGCCCTATACATTTTGTTGTGCTGAATTACAGTAGAAAAAGTCATTATGTCAACCGCCAAGATCACTGACTTTGCAGCACAAATGACAATTTTCTTGCAGGCTCTTAAACTGCTGGTATTGAACCATCATTTGAGTGTGGTTTTTCATATAGCCCAAAGATTAACTTGGAAGTTGTATTAAAGCTTTAAGGCCTCTAGAATGTTATTGCGAGCGTTATGAAGTCACAGTGCTAACAAGCGGGAGGTCCCAGGCCTGAGTGAGTCGTGTCCCCTGAGCACATTGGCGCTGGGCCCGCGCCTTTCATCGGCGTCCACCGTACCTGTAAGGAGGAGCAGGAGATGGATTTGCTCCGGGTGCACAAACCCATCATGAAAAACAGAAACGCCCGTCCTGCTGATGCTGGGCCTCGGGTATCTTTATATTCCATCACCATAGCTCAGCGACCGAGGCACAGCGATTCAGTGTGAAAAGCCTGAGAGGGGCCTCCATACAGGGAGAATGTGATGTGTTGCTTAAAAAAATGTCTTAGGACAGTAGGCCCAAGGTTCTAGCAACAGGAACCCTGGATGGCACCAAAAAACTGTGGTATCACAAGGTAAACCGTGACTCATGTTTTATAACACAGCTGGTTTTCTATCAGCTGGTATTCATCTCCATTATTAATATATCACTGGTGTGGTTTGGGGAAGCAACCACTGCTATTTCTTTATCTGGAGTTTCCCACGCCCTGTATTTGATTTTATTATCAACATGGGTACCAGCCCTGGCCTCAGCTTTGCGAGGGAAGGAGGAGGCCAAGGATTTCTGCCAACCAGCAAGGGATAGAGTGGGGCCCGGAGGAGGGCCTCAGATTCGAGAGGAAGGACAAAGCACAACATGGGGCAAGTGGCAGCAAGATGTGGGTAACTGTTTTCATCAGGGAACCCATGGGAGCGCGCGTGCGTGACATGCCCTTACGATTTTTGTTTTCAAGACCTGTTTCTCATCACATCCCTTCCCAGCCTTCTACCCCCACACGGTAATTCTCCTTCCTCTTTCCATGCCATTTGGCTTATGCCTGCTTTTCCAAAGAACAAGAAATGTGAATGAGTAGTTCCGAAAGCAAGCAGAATGAGTTCTTCCTTTTCTTATAATTTTATGCACGTTTCTTTCCGTTAATACTATGTTTTAAATGGGTTTTTTTTTAAACTCTCCAAGAACTATTAAGATTCTGTCTTTTTTAGTTCATAGCTGTCTTATTAATTAATTGAATGCCTGTTGCCTAGAAACCTCCACAATGAGCTTCCTCTTTTCTGTGTCACCGAGGTATATTTCTGTTGTTCACACCTTGGGACTGAACCTTGTTCACACCCTCTGAATTCGGATGTGACACTAAAGCTGGAACTGGGGATGTGACCTATCATATCACTGAGCTGGAACGTGGTGGGGGGGGGGCCTATAATTTAGGAAACTTCAAGTTAGATTTTTGCACGCAGTTTTTGCACTTTCATATTTGCATGGTCAGGACTACTAACTGGCTTGCTGTTGGCTTGTGTGTGTCATCACCAACTCTGGAATGTGGACGAAGGAGATAAACATTTGTGTGGACCTGGCAGTTAGCGTCCCAGATAGACATCATGCCAGGAAGAGACTAACTGTGCTTTTCTTACTCTGGGAACTACTGGGTAACACAGACTTGGACCCAAGCAAGCAATAGACCCTCATCTTAAAATGGGGAGAGGATGACTTAGGGGTGTCACTGGTCATGGTTACCGTTTGCGATGGAGTGGCTATAGAACCCACACCTCTGTGGACACTCGCTCCTGTCTGGCCTTTTCCTCCCCTCGCCTTTCTCCCAGGTCACTCACTTGTCTTGTGGCTCTGTTTTCTAGACAGTTGAGGAGATTGAGGGGGTACTCGGCCGGGACCTGTATCCCAACCTGGCTGAAGAGCGGTCTCGTTGGGAGAAGGAGCTGGCTGGGCTGAGGGAAGAGAATGAGAGCCTGACCGCCATGCTGTGCAGCAAAGAGGAGGAGCTGAACAGGACCAAGGCCACCATGAACGCCATCCGGGAGGAGCGGGACCGGCTCCGCAGAAGGGTGAGCACGCCAGGTCCAGCCAGTCTGGTCCTTTCCCCGCGGGTGAGAAAAGCCAGCTTGTGGAGCTGAGAGCAGCCCCAGGAGTTTCGTGGCATTTATAGTCTTGGCAGTCGCCATCCGTTTCTGGGTTTGAAGTTATTCTTGAAAGTAATTTGAAAGTGCTGAGGTGTGAAGGTGAAATTAAAAAAACAAACAAACAAACAAAAAACCACTGTTCTCTAGAATCACAAATCTAAGGGGATGGTAAAATTATTTCAGCACAGTGATTCTCAAACCCTTCTCCAGGGTACGCACGTCTTCCCTGAGCTCAATTAAAACGTTCTTCTTTTAAGATAAACTAATAATATGTTATCATTTGCAAAAGTATATAGAATTTTCCCCTTTGCATTTTCTCTTATAAAATTCTTTAAGTTTATCGCACCTGCTCTCACTTACCTATACTGAGTCTAATGAGAACTGTCATCTCTTCTAGTGCAGACTTACTGAAGTTAAGAAAATCATATAAATGTATATGTGTGTATGTATATATGTGTGTTCTGTGTATGTATATATGTGTTAAGTGTGTGTATGTCTGTGCGTATATGTGTAATTCCTGGTATTCACCCCCGGGTACCAGTGGTGCTATGGCCTGAAGCAGATGGAGAGCCACTTCGTTTAGGGAATAGATCTATTATTAAAGGAGCTGATGTTTCAGGATAGAAAGGTTTGGCAGAATTGTTAAGGAGCTCAGTTTTCCAACGATGGAGTTTTTGTCTTAAGAACCCACAAGCACTTCTTTGTTTGGCTGTGAATTTGATCTGTGATTGGACTAGGGGTGAAGCAAGGAATTCTTCAGTCAGAAACAATTCCCTCTGAACTTCACTTTGAATTACTAGACCTGCTTTACTCTCTTCCTCAATCTTGGCAATATTAGAAGCGTGCTTTCTAGTTATGCTCTGATAATTTTGCACACAGAGAAGGTTGAATTAGAGGGGGAAAGCACATACCTGTACGCGTTCTTAGTTACCATTAGGTATGAGCATGGAAGACATGACCATTTTTGAACGTGTTCAACTCTTTTCCTTATTTGTGGCAGATGTCATAATGAAAAGGCCAGCATCCCTCCTTCTTTATACCTGAACACCATTTTGTCTCAACTCATGTGCATAAGCTTATTTTCAGCACCCAGCGATATCGGATGCCATTCTCCATACTTGGCATCAGCAGGTGTAAATCATCCCAGTCAGCAAAGACTTTATCTGGACAAGCTGATGAAACTTCCCCCGTGCTAAGGTCCCTACCACCTGTCATTTCCTGTGTTGTGCTTCCTGATCATTATGACTAATGCCCTAATTAGATGTGCCTGCTCTTAGCGTGCCCTTTCTGAGGGTGCATGTTTTGTGAAGGAAATGTTGGTCTTAGGTGTAATTACATGTTGTGGTTTAGACTAAATTTCGTCCTCTCACTTGAGTTACTTAAGCACAAGACAGCACTGGATTGTGACTAGCAAAAGATAAAAAGCCAGTCCCCCTTCTTCGGGTATTTTCTCCAACTCTGGAGGTTAGATTAAGAACAGCATAGTGTGGTGGTTCTACACTATGTGCCACGGCTCTGGAGCCTGTCTGCCTGGGGTCACAGCCTGACCTACCAGGTCACATAAGTCTTTGGCAAGTCACCTAACCTCTCTGGGCTTAGCTTACTCTGCCATGAAGTGAGGAGAATAATTATAATACCCAATGCAGGAAAATTAGTTCGTACTCATAAAGTGCTTAGATGACCGTTCTTCTGGTCACACGTATTACCTTTTAAGTTTTGCAATTAATATAGTTTTATATAAATGTATATAATTTATATTTCAATGATCTCCAAATAAAAATAGATGGAGGTACTTGTATCTCTTCCTCCACTGGAAACGCCTTCAGACATTTGTAAACATACCCATCGATTGGATGTATTTCTCTTTATTTCAAGATAATTGTGGGTCTCATAGAATTGGCTAGGTGCCTTTGAATGCCAGTTGACGGGACTTTAAATGCTGGATGACTTCCACCCACCACCATCCCATATATTTAATTTCCCTGAGGAGGAATCTGTCTTTTGTGGGTGGCTGGTTGTCTTCTGTTCTTCATGATGTGTAGCTTTGTGGAGTGACTGAGGTATGCTTTCATTTCCATCCCTGTGATACCACATGATACATGGCTGGTTGGCCTTTGCTACCTTGATAGCAGCTTTGAATCTACAGTTCATCAAAGTTGCTTGAAAAGCAATTGGGGCCACATTTTTTTTTTCACTGCCCACATTCATTGTATAGAATTTGAACTGACCAGATCAATAGGATTGGTGCTTGCCCCCTGCCTGTAATTAAACAAAGTGCTCTCAGTAGGTTTTCTGAGCCTTGTTCAAGCTTTAATTAAATTAGATCCTTAATGTCAGTTAACAGATTGGGCTACTTGGCAGAGCAGTAACTAAGGAACAACAGGCAGACAATTTTTATTATTGGTCCCCACTCATTATTGAATGAGATAATCATTTATTTCTGTGTGCTCTGTAATATAATCATTCATTTCCTCACACTTAAAGAAATATACTTACTTTAGGCAAGACAGAATTAGTTGCTCTAGAAAGGAAGTTTTTTGTTCTTCATTCATTCGTTTATTCATTTCATAAACATGATTGGTCATCTCCTCCTCTGTGCCAGGCAAAGGGGTTACAGTGATGAACAGGACATAGTCATGGCTTGAAAGATTTTGGGGAGACAGGCAATTAAACAGGTCATTGCAATAGTATATGTCAAGCAGTAGGAAGGAGGGAATGCAGAGGGCACCCTGGGAGCTCATAGGAGGGACATGTGAGGGCAGGACCAGCTTCTCCACATTATTTGCATTTTTACCTAATTGTTTAGGTCAACTGCCATATAGCAAAAATGATCAATGCTTTCCCCAGATAGTATGGTAAAGCAAATTGGATGTGACCACAGCTCATAAATCTATGTCCCATTGAATCATAGACTTGAATCAAAAATGGGCCCCACAAGTTCCTTGTGAGATTTTATATAAATCCTTCAGAAAGTTCTTCAAATTCATGGCATAAGGTGGTAGTAACAGAGTTTCTTCCTTATACCTTGTGCCCCACCTGGGTGTTTTCAACATGTCTGAGAATTAATTCCATCCTCTCTCCTGGGCTTCCTTCAGCCTTGGGACCTGGCTTCTGCTTTGACTCTCTGGTCATTACCACAGTAAATTCAGGAGGCTAAAAGACACATGCTTTTGAACCAAATAAAAGCCACCCTAATCTGAAGTTCCTTCTCTCTGTTTCCCTCACTTCCCCTCAAAATGTCTTTCAAACCCTTAATGTTAGGGTACTAACCTGGCTCGGGGGGAGGTAGGACAGTACTTCCACCAGTGATAAGATACAAGTGTCCGTTTTTTCCAGACCAGTCACTCGTGATTCCTAAATGCAGTGTTATATTTATGAAGGAATTTTGTTGTTCTGTGTTCATAGGACCCTTGTAAGAAAAATGGAACCACCCAATTCAGCTGAAGTCTTTTAAAATGTAAATGAGGACTCTAAACTCCAGATTATTCATTTCTTTTCCTTATTGTTTTGTTTTGAAATACTTATAGATTCACAGGAAGTTTAAAAAGCAGTACAAAGAGGTCCTGTGTACTCTTCACCCAGTTTCCCCCAATGGTAACGTTTTTTTTTTTTGTATTAGTTTCAGGTGTATAAAGCAACGTAATAGTTAGACATTGAAATCGCTCATAAAGTGATCACCCAGCCCCCAAGCTACTGCCACCCCTGACATCTTCTATAGCTGTTACAATTTCATTGACTATCTTCCCTATGTTGTACTCCATATCCCGTGACTATACACCTATATATTTAAACTCCAGATTTTTTAATGGCTGCTGTTTGGTGCCTTGAGGAAAGAACAGGTAAATTTCAGAATGCTACATTGCCCATTTCCTTCCTTCTCACCTCATCTTCCTTAACAGAAAATAAGTCTAAATTCCTGGTAATGTGACCTTTGGTGGGGGGGGACAGGGGGACGTTGAGCCTGGTAAAGGAGGCACAAAAGGAAGGATGCAGGTGAGAAGCGAGAAATGTCCTTCATACAATGTCACTCTCAGGACCCATTTACTCCTTAAGCTTTTTCAAGTAACAATCGTATAATCCTTGGAGCCAATTTTTATAAATTTAGGATTACAGTTTTATTAGCAAAAAAGGATCCCAATCAGAACCAGCCAAACTAAGAGATGCTTAGGTGGTCTGGAAGGGGTCAAATGCAAAGCTTCCAGTTGTCTTCTCCCCGTGGAGTCCTGAATGGTGTTACCTCCTTTCAGCTGTGATTTGTGACAACACTCAGGGTACTGCCAACCAGGGAAATTCATTCAAGCTTCATTCAGTATTTAAAGTTTTTATTGGGGTTTCGTTACGTAGGAGTGATTGATAAATCCTTGGCCATGTGGTTGAACTCAGTTTCCAGCTCCTTCTCTTTCAGGGAGATCAGGCTGCTATCCTTTGGGACACTTTTAGGTTTGGGATTACGACAGGCATGATGGAGTGACACTGCGTCTGCCCGTAGCCATTCTCATACAGTAGCGATCCCAGAGCTGGTGGGTGGGGTGTCTAGCGCTTGTCCCATGAACTTACTGACTGTGGTGACTTACGGAGCATCCTCTTATATGACCCTAACATCCTCCCCCAGAGCCCTTAGTTCTTAATCTTAGTGCCAGTTCCTAAATACTGAACTGTTTCTAAACACTGGATCAAATCCACCTTCAGTATTTACGCACGTTATCTCCAAGGGTGCTTGTCAATCAATTGTCATGCTTACAGAGGTTGAAAAGAGGAATCCAAATTAAACCAAAGGGCCTGCTTAAAAAGAATAATTACCTAAATGTTGACCTTGTGTTTTGTTATGTACTCCTTTCTACTAATTAGTTTACTTACAACATGCATTTACCATTAGACTGCCCTCCCCTACTGGGAAATAAGATGTATATTATCATATTGAAATG